AAAATCAAAAAAATCTGATTTAAATCAATAAAATCCGATTTAAATCAAAAAAATCTGATTCTTTTGATTTTTTTTTAAAAAATCTAAAAAATCACGAACCCTGTCAGTAATTAGAAGTACAATATCGTAAAAATATATAACAGTTAGCATTTACAAAATTCAAATTGGTGCAGTTTCAAAGTGCTGCTTAATTCTATGTAAGTACATAATATTAATAAAATTAAGAATGAATTTACTATCAAATTTAAAAACAACAATTAGATAAATTAAAAATTATACATCACTGAAACTTTATATTTCAGATACATTATATAATGATAAAATAAAATTGCTTATACAGAATTAATGTTCCAGTTTTTGGTGAAATTAGAATATGCCCTTATAGCCTTTAAATCATCCTACATTTGAACCACTCAAATTTTTTTCTTATAGCATTTCAAATTTGAGTTTATGTTCTTTTGATTTTCTATAAAGAGAAAAGATTAAGTTTAAGAATAGCTTGTTGGAAGGGGTAAAGATGAGATTTCTTTGATTTTTCTATTTTTTGTTTACATCAAATCGATTTTGTTTTTTATTTATTATTTTTCAGAATTGAAAAAAAAATACTCTAGATTAGTTGTAAACAGTAAATTTTCAAAACTCTTAGTAGTTAAGGAGGAAAAAACTTCTTTTAATAGATTATCAGGAAAATTCTCAAAAACTCAACTGAAAATTCTCAAAATGTTTTTTTACTCAACACAAAAACACAATCTAACAAATTTCAGCATTTATGAAAATATATCATAATTGTGCTGAATAGTAATGAAAAATTTGAAAAAAATATTTTATCAAAAAATAATTTATACTTACACCCCGATATAACATAGCCTCTATAAATTTTATCTTCAACAACATCAGTCCAAAATATTAGATCTCCTTTAGATGAATGATAAAAATCTACTGCTACTGTATTCTGTAATCCAGATATTAAAGCTTTTACAGCCATGGATTTCAAATCAACACTTCTCAATTCATGACGATTTGAAAATATGATGTAAGGTTCAGCTGATGCTAAAAATAAAAATAGCATTAAAGTATTTTCAGCAAAATTAAAAAATTGTCAAAATCAGTTACCTCATAAATTAATCAAATGTAATATTAGCAATATTAAAACAAATAAATAAAATTAAACATGAATAATTATACATTTTTTATAGTGACACTAGTGGAAAGCTAAATGTGTATTTAAAAATCTTTTATTTTGGCCAATACTACAAAATTATTGAAGAATACCGCAAATCATCAGTGTTTCACTTTTTTTTGCAATGATAAATAATATAGCATTTAGAATTGAAAATAAATTCATAGAGATGGAACTATTTAAAGAGTTTTGAGAACAACATACTAACAAATATTCATGTTCTTAGCCCAGGTGTTCACAATAATAATGGGTCTATATATAAACATTGCAGCTGCGAGTGCAATATCCAAGTAAAAATGAGCATTCCTAAAGAGCAAGACAATGTGAGTTATGATTTACAGCTGCTGAACTACAAATGTAGAATGAAGTTCAAATTTCAATGAATAGATTCTGCACCCACCAAAGCAGTTTCTTCTCTTATATGTTATTATTACTCAAAGCAATGATATTGATAGCAAACTAATAAATTTAGTTTTTTCTGTCTTGCCTTCATAAAATGAATGGGAAATTTCATTTTTAGTCATTTATTTAGTCAACATGTAACACATTCTTGGAGCTCTTATCAGTTACAAAATTGATAACTAACAAACGATGGTGGTCCCCACACAACACTTATACCCTTAAAATAAAAAGAATGACGCAGGGCCTTGAATAATTTATGGGCTATATGCATGATTTCAGAATTATAGTCAGTTATTAATTCTTAGTTTTGTTACTGATAAGCTTTTAAAAATAGTGTATGTGCAGTAACTCTTTATAAGAACTAATTCACATGTTTCGAACATTATTTCGTGCATTATTTTTTCAATGGCGAATGAACTCTCGAGTTAAAAGTCTGCTTGTGCCTGTCTTATTTTAACCTCATGCTCTCTAAAACCAAGAAACAAAAAAAGCGGGCAGGCACTTTTACAGAAATTTAAACAAATGTTAAGAAAACTACTAATAATAAATATTGAAATTTATCACTTATATTAAAAATTGATGAGTGTCTTTTTTAAGCGTTTTGCAGATACTATGTGAATTTGCTTATCCTCGTTTGATTGGCCACCCGAGTTTTACTGCACTTTAATGAAGCTTAAATCAAAAGTGTTTATCCAAGGAGATTAAAGAAAATTCTTATTAGCTTACATCAAGTGATTATTTATTTGGCCTATGAAATCAAAATATATTGCAAATTTGATTCAATTATGTCTCCCCCAGACATAACAGAAACAATATTTTCCAATCAAAAAATAAGGTAAAAAGAATTATAAAAACTAAACATAGAGTTGAGAAAACTTTTGTAAAAACTATACTATCTACAAATGAGTATTCTTACCAGTGCTTTTGCAAGTGAAATGATCATATTCCAACTGGTAACCAGGCTCACAAAAACATTTATGGGTGTGTTTCAATTGCAAACAATTCTGGCTACAAATTCCCCATTGCTCACAAGATGGAATTTCTGAAAGGTAAATTCATCATAAAATGAATTTCTAATACTAGTTGAAATACCATGACAATAGATTTTGTGAAATACCATGAGCTTCTAAATCACATAAATTAAAATTTGAATGATTTTTTAATAACAATAATAATATAAGAATAAACAGAACAGTAAAGTTTATTAACATGAAAATTTTAAAATGTCTATTTAATAAAAATTCAGAGCATTTCTTTGTATAAGAATCTAGCAAACTTTTTTTCAGAGCAAATTATATTTCAAGAGTTTTAATTCTCATTACAATTCTATAAGTAATAAATTTGATGTGAAAGCAACTATAAAATTTTTTTAAAAATGTTACGAAATAGTAAAGTTATTTTCTTCTTAAAAACAAAATTGTAGAAAAAAGCTTATTTTATATATTAATCAATAAAAATTCAGTACTGAATAAAAGTACTTTAAAAAAAGGAACTGCAAAATATACTTTTTTATAAAGATTTAAAAAAAAAAAGATTAACATAGATGGAATGAATTCACTTAAAAAAATAATATTCAAATAAGTATCCTAAATAATTTAGTTACATATTGCAGCTTTATGCCAGGAGTAAAATTCAATAGAATGGGACTTCTAATTAAATTATACTATACACACAATAACTTAAACAATATGTCACAGTGATGTGTGACGTTTTTTTCTAATTGTTTAATTTAATCCCTTTTTAGTTTAATGTTGGTTGTTTGATGTCACAGTGTTGTGTGACGATTGTTTTTATGTCCGGAATTTAACGACTGAATAACATCTATAAATTTTTACGTTGGTGCAAATAAACACTGGTCAAAAAAAGAAGGAAAATATGAGAATGTTACTCACCCCGATGAACATCACGTTGACATCTTTATGTTGTTGTCGATGTAGGACAAAAAAAGGAAAAAAATCTAATAAAACAAAAAAAAGACAATTTCTTTTCTCGTTCAAAAAAAAAGAGTGGGTTTATTCATTTCATTGTACAAGGGATCAACTGAGTCGCCTGAGTGGGGATGCGTTGGCACCCCAAGCCACAGCTCAAGCAGGGTACGAGCTTGCTCAACAGAGAAAAACATTAAAAAAACTCAAATGACTCGCATTTTTAAAAAAAAAACTTTGCCAATTTGCTTGACAAACACTACACTTTAAAATTTAAAACATTTGACAAAAAAAGGGGCTGAAGTCGTGCAAATAACTCATATAAAATTACAAAAAAAAGTTTGACGGGGCTCGCTGACCCAAAAGGGCCAGCTTGCCAGTCGCAAAAAAAGGGTCACCACAGGGGAAGTGTCCTTCGTGGTACCAAAAACGATAATGATAATAATGGCGTCCCCTGAAGCGCGGGAAAATGCCAGTTGAAAAGCAGGAGAGAGAACGACTGTCATTGGATGGGGGATTACCACACGATTAGGTCACCACCAATCAGTGCAAATAGTACTCCCACATACCAAAAAAAATGCCAAAGGGGAAAGGTCCCCCAAAAAAAGGCGTGAACTCCCGAAAATTCTAGAAAGATCTAGAAAACCCAGCCGGAAGAAACACGTGCAAAATTGAAGGTTACGTGAAAGTGATGGGAAAAGAAGTTAAGTGGTGACGTAAATTAGAATGTGAGGGAAAAGAATTCGTCCTTGAAGGACAGTGGGGTCAGACGACCTTGAATTGCAAAAGGTGAAAGACACAAAAATGCGTTGCTAACGTAAAAGTAAAAAGAGACATTTCCAATTCTCTTCACAGAAAAAAAAATGAAGAGAAATAAAAAAAGAAAAGTACAAATACTATTAACTATGAAAGATTGAATTAAAATTAAATTAAGTTAAATTCCGGACATAAAAACAATCGTCACACAACACTGTGACATCAAACAACCAACATTAAACTAAAAAGGGATTAAATTAAACAATTAGAAAAAAACGTCACACATCACTGTGACACAATACAAAGTTTTTATAAATGCTGAAATCAAATTTTGAACAAAAAAAAGTCAATATCAATCTTTAATTTAAACAACTTCAATCCTTGTAACTTGTAACTTTAAAGTTTAATGATTTTTTTTTTAAAAGAAATTATTACCACAGTCATGTTGTTGCAAAAATATTATTTATTGCAAGAGTTTAATTTCATTCAGTCATTATTATTATTCTCTTTTGTGACAAAAAGTTTTTTCAATGCCTCTTTTAATGAAGGTTTTTAATTTCTACATTATTACATTATGGCTATTATTACATTATGGCTTTCAGGCTAATGTTATAATTAATCTCTGCATAATACAAAGATTGAAATCAACAGTGGTTCGTAGGTCCGAGTTCACTAAACTTTGATTTGGAACACCATTAAGTAATTAAAAGTAATCGCCAGACAAACAATCAATATAACAGAATGGTATGCTGTTTTTTATTATTTTTGGTTTCATGTTTTGGTCAATGGTTTTGTCACTAAATAATTTATTTTATTGTAATTGTGACAGGCATTATACATTCTATGCATTGTAATTTTTTATTTATATTTACTTTATTAACTATTTCTTTTTAAAATCTAATGCAGGCATGTAAATGAACCAGTAAAAATGTGTTTAGACAAGTAATACCATTTCGGACAAATAAGTAATACCAGTAAGTACATTTCACAGTAGTAGCAATGTATGACAATGTCGATCATGTTACTAATCATGACAATGTAAATTAAACCACAAAGCTTTATTATTTAAAAACAGATACATGGTTCATGAAATTGATCCTGCTGTCTATATTTAATAGCCTAAACACTTTTTTTAATTAAAATAATTTCACAATATTCATTCTAAGATAAACGACATATCTTATAAAATAAAATAAAAATATGATAAAATTAGAATTTTCAAATATTAACCCTAAAAAGTATTGACATGAAAAATAAAATATGTTGAAAATAAAAAAGGCTTTTCACCTGTGCAAGAATGACCATCTACTGTAACCTGCAATCCTGCTGGACAATAACAAATATGTCCTTTAGGTGTTGTCTGGCACAAATATTTGCATTCACTTAGCAAGCATTGTTCATACTCTGACCATAAGGGGAAAAAATTAGTTAAGAAAATGAAAATACAAACTTTAGTTTACAATAGCTAAGGCTTAAACAGGGAACAAAGTTATGGTTTTAATCTTTAAGTTCTTCAGTCTCTTTTAATATCACTCTCAAAACCTTTTTAAATACCATAACTATTTAATAAAAAAATATTAATGCATACAGTGAAAATTATTTACTTATTAAATCTGAATATTATTTACAGTATTTAAACAGAAGCTTAAATAAATATTAGAAAAGAGTAAGAAATTAGCAATCATCTGAAAGATATTTTTAAATATTAGCTCATTAATTAATAATAAATAAATTTTAGTTATTAATTTTGAATGTAATTTTCCAGTTTAGTGTTAATAAAAAAAAATTATAACAAAAAAATGGTATACTTATGTTAAATGACATGAAACATTTTTTGCACACTTCAAGATAAGCTGTTTAAAAGAAAAGATGGTAACACAGTAAATGGTTCTCATACTTTCAATATATTTTGAAACAAGGTTGTCAATGAAACACTATTATTTAAATATATTAAAATCTTGATTATTTAAAGTCTGGTTCTAGGACAGAATCTTGATCCTTCAGTAAATACAATTTGTAAATACTATTATTTAGTCCATAATAAAGAAATATTTGTGAATGCAGGAAAATTCTTAACACCTTGACTGACTCTACATTGCATTCGATATTTGATCTGTGTGGTACAGAGGGAAAAGAAAATGCTGGTTTCATGACAAAGAAAAGTCCTACATTTTTCAAAAAATTTACAATAAGTAATTTAAAAACTTACCAACACATTTCAATACTAAAAAACTAATGATTAAATTAGAATTCAAGAGGATATTCGCCTCCTACATTTTAAATAAAGCTAAGAGGTGGACTTGGGAGTGTCTCACAAGTTCAAATCCTGCTGTTACAGATTTCTCTCATCCGGTAGCAATGGCGTTACTTTGTCTTTTAACTGGACACGACGGCTTAAATGCCAATCTTTTAAAAATTGGTCTGAAAGACTTTTCTGGTTGCACTCTTTGTAACCTTGGACAACTTATGAATTTTAATCATATTGACAAATACATAGCATTAAACTCTTTCAATTCTGCAGTTTTAAAGTAATGGGAAGCATGGCAATTACTGATTTAAGATTTTCCTTATTACCAAACACATACATATACATACAGGGTGTCTCAGTTAAGCGTTTCAGAACTTCTAAGAGGGGTAGGGGACATCCTGACGACTCGAAATCATATAGCAATGCGGGGTCGGAAATGCTTTCCTGATGCGGTAGATGGCGTTGTTTGAAAGTTCCGACCGAGCTTTCCAGTGCATTGGCCACCTCAGTCACCCGACCTATCATGTCTTGATTTTTATTTCTGGGGTCATAAGAAAACACTGGTTTATGTCACCCCTGTTGACAATGCTGAGGAGCTGGTTGCAAGAATCACAGTAGCTGCCGGAGAAATTCGAGATATGCCTGGAGTATTGCAGAATGTTCGGATGTCCATGCACCGGAGATGTGAGATGTGCATTGTAGCCGGTGGCAGAAACTTTGAACATTTACTTTGACCCATGTGCCTTATGCCTTTTTCAATGTATTATTAAAACGATTTTTCACTTACGGTCTCTTTTCTTTATGGTGCGTCTGTGTACGTCACCGCTTCAGGAAAGCATTTCCGACCCCACATTGCTGTATGATTTCGAGTTGTCAGGATGCCCCGTACAACTCTTAGAAGTTCTGAAACGCTTCACCCTCAAATTTCAAACACCCTCAAATTTTACCCTGTATATATACACATAAGAATGAAAATATGAAGAAACTCTACTTACCACACTCGCCACCCTCGTCAGATCCATCTTCACAATCAGCAGTGCCATCACAAAACTGGGTAACATTTAAACAGCGAGTTCTGTTATCACAAGAATGACTGGGGAAGATGCAAGGGGGATTTTCTTCACCTGAAACAGTGAGAACACTTTGACAAAAGTAATATAACAAGATATAATTGTACTAATTAGCTTTACTAATAGTTATCAAATTTAAATAATTTCACTCCCTACTTTAAAGGTTGTACTTTTGTAAAATGTACAAAATAAAAACCCCTGATTATCAGACGTTTTCTATTTTTTAATAAACTGCTACTTCAGATAATCATGGTTCTACTGTTGTAAGCGAATTACTTAAATGGAAAAAAATATATTAACATACGAAAATAAATATTTAACTAATAAATATTTAACTAATAATTTTTAATTAATAATTTTTAAATAATAAACATTAACAGATAAATGGCAATGAATTACAATTTTATAAATTTTATACTCTATTTTATATTATATATTGTTTGATAACCGTCGTTGAACAGCCAACCCAATTTTGGATTTACAACTACTAATGTTTAACTCTTTAACATTGTAGTTTTGAACCCAATCCAAAAGACGAAGGAACTCCTGTATCAAGTATTGGGAGAAATTTGCCTTCGTGAAGGATTTTTTCTGTTTTTTTTTAGAGAACTAACCGCATTTGCGTTACATGAAGAGAAAAACTAAAAAACCTCCCGCGATTAGCTTGAGAGGAAAAAGATTGCAATCAATGATCCCACTGAGGGTATTTCAGTCAGAATTCTCATTTACCAGAATTTTTATCAACCGGCCACCACTGGGATTCTAACCTAGGTTACATCATTAGGAAGCAAATGCTCTAACCCTTGAGTTATTGTGGTTCAATTTTATATATTACCAACAAATTAAAAGCAACTTAAACACTTCAAAAAATTTACCACAATTTTTCTCATCTGATTTATCCTCACAATCAAACTGGCCATCACAAACAAAATTGCTCAGAATGCATTGATCCTGAGAAGCACACAGGTGTTCATTTTCCGCACAGGTAGCATTACCTAGACAAGAAAAAGTATAAATGAATGCTAAAATATGTAGACTTTTTGGAATATGTGAAGCAAATGAAACAACATATTTAACACAATATTTAATGATGATCTTAATATTGATATTAAATACAGAAAATTTCTAATTAAGAATAAGCTATAACTGTTAAAGAAAAAGAAATTTCTATGTAAAATTTTAATTCCGATAATTTTAGAACATTTTTTAAAAACAGATACTGTAGAAAAACAGCCTCTAAATTATAAGATATTTGCTACATAAGTTTTAGAAATTACACACCTCAACTTTTATTCTCACTTTTCATTTTCAAAATAGTGGAACACAGGTTCTACAACAAAAATCAATTATTCATACTATTGCACTATTTAAGGCAGAAATTAGCCGGGCATGACCGAGCCTACCATGGGCTAAGGCTCATTAGTTGAAAGAAGTGTTGAAGTTTATTATAAAGTTTCTATATACTTCTCATTATTCTAAAATTTAAAAAAAAATTTATTCAAAGATTCCTTTGATCCAATGTGAAAAAAAAAAAGTAAAAATACTAAGTGTAAAAATTTGAGAGGTATTAAATTTCTGAAATAAAATAAAATCATCTCTAAAAATATATTTATTTTGGCATTCCTCTGAGCAAGTATTGCAAATTTCAGTCTTTATGTGCCACATTAAATCTCGGATTCAAGTGTGTTCAGGCTTAAAAAATTCTATCTTGTGCAAAACAGCCGATGCACCTCTCTAATGCAAAAATCAAATTTGTTAAAGTTAAGTTTAGAGGTAAAATTCGACAGTGTTTTTTTACATGCTATTGTTTAAGTAAATGAATTCTGCATGCATCAACAAAAGAAAAAACCACAACATAATTCATAAGTCCATAATAATTTATTAACTTTCAGTGAACCAAATTTTTTGCCAAAAAAATAAATAAATAAACAAGACGGAAACAGAGCACTTAAGTTTAATTAAAATGCGTAAGATTGTAAGGTTTAAATAAGTTACTGTAAATTTTTGCTTTCGATTTTTTAAGAAACAATATTTAAATCAAAAAATAAAACAGTCTTTCTTAGGTTCTACAGCTGCATAGTTTTATGCTAAGCAATAGATAGATTTGGAATTTGTTTTAATGATAAAAATATCTTTTCCAGAAAAGTAAAAAAATAAAAAGTCTTATAGTGTTTCTTCAAATAAATAATAAAATGAAAATATAATTTATAAGTGCTTACTGCAATTGCTCTCATCGCTTTTATCAGCACAATCCCATCTTAAATTGCATTTCCAGCTATTGGGTATACACAATCCATCAGGGCATAAAAACTCATCTTCATGGCACACATATTTCTTATCTTCATCTTCTAATTAAAACATAAGGAAAGCATACTAATTATTTAACACAAACTTAGCTTAACGATTACCAAAATGAAATATTACCATATTAGGCACACAAAAATATAGAAAATATAGGTTACATGAGCAACAAAAAAAAAATTATATAATTATTTAAAGTGTAAGGGTCATTAGTTAAGAATATGTGAGAATAATATTGGTCGAAAAATACTAAAAAAACTCTTTAAAAATTAAAATACATGAGTATGAAAATAAAATTACTAGCATTTTTACATAATATTTGATTGTGTTGTAAAATACCATTACATACCCACACATTGATACATGTATGAATCAAATTCTAGAGTTTAAATAATTCACATTGTTCTTAAAAAAACATTGTAAATATTACAGTACGGTACACACAGTATGTACAGTAAATATTTTTCAATAACAGCTTTTTCCTAACCTAAAGTCCGTTTTTTAAAAAAAAATGTTGTTCAAAGAATGTAATCTAATGACACATTTAAAAATTTTGAGAGTAGGACCTATAAGTATAAAATTTGCAACTTGCTTTTCAGAAATGTTTAGCTAAGTTTTCCCTAAATTTTACAGGCTAATTATAAATTACATAAGTTTAACAAGTTTTTCTTAATATGCATGAAACTGATTTCTAACTTCATTTGTGTCAGACTTAATAATGAAAAAAAAAGTAAATGAGAGACAATTTCAATTAATAAGAAAAAATTTTTTAACATTGCATATTATAGGAAATTCTAGGAAATATTAATTGTTTACATTAAACTATGACTCAAATTATTGGTGTTTAAATAAAATAAAGGAAAAAAATTTTAACAAAAAATTTAACATTCAAATTTTTAGAATTTTGCCCAAAAGAGAATCGAAGTATCTACAATTCTTTGCAGACATATTTTAAGAAGAAATAAAACGATGAATGAAAATATCAAACATACTTTTTAAGTTTAAAATTGAAATAACAGAAAAAATATAAGCAAAAAAAAATATAAGCAAAACCTCTCAAAATTTTAAAAATAATAATAACTTTAATAATTCAACAACACAGCAAAAACTCAACAGCATCTATACCTAATCATTCCAATCACAGAAGGAATGCTTGTAACAAAATCATATATAAAATGTACAATTACCGCAGTTTTCTTCATCAGATTCATCATTGCAGTCTTGTACGCCATTGCATCGAAGTTCCTTAGACAGACATAAGGTACCTCCATCACAAACATATTCATTAGGACCATCACATTTCTTTTTACAGAAACGCTCATCAGTGCCATCTCTGCAATCATCATCTCCATCACATACATATTCAAGAGGTACACATCTTTGATTATCACAGCGAAATTCTGCAGCTTCACATTCAGGATATTCTGAAAAATAAATATATATAATTACAAACAAAAACGAAAGAAAATAATTTAATGCACTTTTGAAAACAACTACAATAAATTTAGAAAAAAAATTCTAGCTAAATTAATTACTCAACGAAAAAAAAAACGCCTTTAAATTAAATAGGATGTAAACAACTGTGAATATTACAAAATAAATTTCTCAGTTATAAGAACAGTTAAAATAGACTGATTAGTAACTCAAAATTCAGAAGAGTTGAAAAAAATTGAATATCTAAGAGCAAAAATTTAATTACATCCACCATTCTCGCTTTGCCTGCAAATCTTCACAATTTTTTTCCCCTTTAAATATTTGTTTCACGACGTGAATCAGATTGTGTCTTCAAAATCCTTCTATTAAAAATTTCTGAAGTTTTTGCTTGAAACTTTTTTTTAAACGATTTAACTGCACACTTACATTTTTTAATGCATTATACTACCAGCCAAAATTTGCTTTAGTTCACTGGTAAAAATTTGCAAAAAATCTGGATCCACAATATCTGGATCACGCAAATCTGCTCAAGTTATTTGTCAAATAGAACCTCCATTAAATTGGGTATTCTTTTACTTTTGCGGTAGTCTCACAATTTGTCACTAGATGGCAGAGTCATCAAATACAGCAACAGACTTTATGATATTTATGAGTTGGAATTTCCTAAACATTTTAAGTTAAGTGTCTGAAGTTTATTTTAGCATAATTTATGAAGCATGGATATTGTATAATATATTTTTAAGCATAAATACAGTGTCAGCTTGGGTACGTTTATGTTCAGCTTATCAGTACGAGTATTGTTTTAGGTTCCTGATATAAATAATAACTTCTATTTTCATGATTAGCTGAGGTTTTTTTCTCACTTTTCGATGTAACGCATCATAAGAGTTAACTAAATACTTTTAATAGGTTGCAACTTTTGCAAAATTGTATTATAATTACTTAATTTTATTTAGAAATCTTTATATTTTATGAATCCCCACGTATTTAAACATGCGACATTTTCAAGTATAATTACTTTGCTAACTTATGAATTTAAATTATTAAATTACCACAGTCTTCATGCTCATCTGATACATCATCATCACCACAATCCAAATCTGAATCACATGTCCAACTTGTTGGGATGCAACGTCCAGTTTCCTTACAAGTAAACATTGTTGAGCTGCATGTTGAATCTGAAAATATTAATGAAAACATTTAAAAAAAATTTCTACAAAAGAAAAAATATATAATGGAAACCTAAATAAAAAAAGTAATATTAACAATATTTAAACATACCTCACATTTCTTTTAAAAATTGATAGGGAAAAACAATTCAAATTACAGTGTGGCTTTGAGAAGAACTCCTCCAGACCAAAAGTCTGGGGCTGTCTGCTGCTATGATAACAAGCAAAACCACATTTCTAATGAGGGTGCAACGGTAGAATAAAGATGTTGATTAGTTTACTCACGCTGACATACCCCAAGATCAAGACAAAACTATTCACCCCACATCCCTATTGAAAGTAACTTTTCCTCGCATCCATGGTACCCGCCACAATGCAAGACTGATGTCTGAAGTTCTGAAAGTCACACTATAAAAGCACATTGATTCAGAACAAAAACATGGAAGCAGGGTTGCCACAGAAAGAAATGAACAATATAATTGCTTTTAGTAGCCCGAAGCATGCAAATAGTTGCCGAAAACTATGAAAATTGTTGCCTAAATAAGAACAAAAATACGACTAAAATTTTATTAAATGACATTATTGTCATATACCAGTTAGTCATATACCAGTTATACCATTTAGTCAAGTTGGCAAACATGAATTTTCATATAAACAGTAGTGTTCTAGTACTAAATTTTTATATCAAAAAATTAGTATATTTTCAGAAAATTACAATACTTTTAATTACTGGAAATCATTCAAAAAAATTTGTTTTCAATAAAAAAAACATACTTTTTCTAAAAAAACTTCAGTTAAACAAATAATTGATTGAGCAAATATAATATATGCATATATATATTGTGAAAAGTGATTATTCAAATTCAAAATTCATGCATCGTAATATCATATTAAAAATTAGGTATTTTAAAATCATGCAGAATTTTGTAGCAATAACTGTTGAAAAGGTGATCGAGAAAAAAAAATAGATTTACAAATTGAGCGCATTAAAAAGTGATGACTTAAATTTGCAATTCGAAATTTTTTATTTTATTTATTTATTAAGAAAAAAAATCATTGTGTTCAGAAGCTACTGAGGGCTGCAAGTTGTAACCCAATATATGCTATAAAAAAAAACACAGCTAGGAGCACAGAAAAGTCTCCCAATAGTCTCCTTTTCCTGAAAACAGTTGCTTTTTTAGCCTTTTCAGGGGAAAAAAGTTGCCATAGTCGCCTCATGTTGAAAATAGTTGCAAAATCAAAAACAATAACAAATAAAGTTCAGTTTTTTAAAAATTGGTATAATAACAAAATAACAATCAAACTATTAAGTAAATGAATAAAATATAAGTATATGGAGATAATTACTGTTGCATCTGGAACTGGGTTCTTCATCAGATCCGTCTTTACAATCCTTTTCGCCATCACATACCCAATGAATAGATATACAGCGATGAGTATCACATTGAAACTGATCAACACGACATTGGAATTCTTCTGGTAAAAACATTTCATTGTAGTAAAGGAGTTAAGTCATGACAAAAATACATGTGCAAAACAATCTGTCATTGTTTCATGTCATAGTTTTTCTATGTGACATAAATGTAGCTTAGTTTCAATTAAAAAAAAGTATTAAATATCTGACTCAGTTCCTTTACCTTTGTTTTAGGGTTTAAATATGCATGGATGGTTTAAATATGCGAATGTCATTTATTAAATTCTATTTATATAAATTAGTGAGATATGGAGGATGATTGCAATAAAATATAAAATTACATATTTTGATGACATTGAATAATAATTCTATTTTCTTGAAAAAGTAAATTGAAAATATATTTAAAAAAACTGAAAATTCATAATTTTCTATTTGGATTTATTTACTATTTAAAATAACACTAATTGAATTTTACCTTACTTTGATACTTGAAAAGAAATCATATAACATTTTTATCTTACAGCTAAAGTAATTTTAAAATGTACTTTTATTATTAAAAAATATATATTTTATTACAGTAGCTACTTCTATTTGATCAAAACTATTGACCGAAAAATTAGAGTATGCATTTTTATAATATATTTTTTCCTCTTTTATTAATTGGAAAATGTAATTAATATTTTGAATTATAGTAATTACCCTTAAAGGTATATTAAATATTTAATAAACTTCAGCCAAATACCTGTTACTTATATTTATTACTTTAAACATGACCAGTTTCTTCCATCTTTTATTTATTTGTAAATTATATTATTGTTTAATAATATTGTTAATTATGCACTACAGTTTCATAAAAATGTTAAACCTTTAACTCTACTTGTAAAAATTGCAAAAAAGAATTTTCCTTTCTTTCACCTTATATTTATACGTTTTCCTAATTTTGTTTTGAGATTCTTAAATGACTTTGAATAAATAAATAAAAAAGCACTATACAGCAAAAACAATTAAAAATGGCTAAATTTCAGTATTCTAGACAAATAGCAAAAAATTGCAATATACCGCATTTCCCACCAGCTGAAGAGTCTTCATCTGAACCATCTCCACAATCATTATCACCATCACACAAATATCGGACATCAATGCATCGCAAATTTTTAACACACTCAAATTCTCCTTCAGGACAACGCTTTGGCTCCGTATAATTTACAGATCCTGAAAAGAAATAATAATTAAACAAATCTTTCACTAAACTGAAACAAGTTTTGTAATCTTAATTACAAGAGTGAAAATTAATACCATTAAGTTAAGATTGCAACCAAAACCCAATCTATTTAAGAAACTTATAGAACTGTTATAAAGCATAAAGTTACAAAATTACTGTAGAAGAAGATATATTGTTATGAGAACACAATTTTATAAGAGAATATAAGTAATACATGAAAATCTTATATAGTATCTACAGTTCTATACAATATTACACACCACATTTTTTCGGGAGGCAACTTTTTGTCAACCAAATCTGGTTCTTTTTTGACTATTACCCAACAGAATTTTTTTTTAATTTGATATGGTCAATAACTTTGAATGGGGTGCACTTTGAAACATCTTTTACAAGGCCATGCACATTTTAAAAATAAATCTTGTCATAAAAGAGAAATACAAACACATCAATATCCATCCTAAAAAAAACTAAACTTAGTGGCACAACAACCCACAGAGGGCCAAAGCCTATTGTGCCCATCACAGTTTTATTGAGCTTGGACTTCGGGATGCAGGAACAGATGTTCCAGTTAAGCGGTCAGCCTGATATGGAATCTCCATTGTTTAGTTCACAAGCATGCTTTGTACTCATTTTATCAACCCATTGAAGAGATGAAAGGCTGAGTCAACCTTAGCATAATTGGCATGAGAGAGTGAAACGACGCTACCACTTAGTCACTGGGTGTCCAATTAAGTTTCATTTTCATAAAAAGCATGTTTATATTTAACATAGATCTGAATGCTAAAAAATTTAGCAATAAAGAATACATAATTAAAGAAAGAAAAATAACAAAACAAATTTTATTGGAATATATAAATTTAGCAAATAATAAATATACCTATGCAGGTTTGCCTATCGCTAGATAATGTTGATCCATCCCGACAAGCACAAACAGCTTTTTCTGGAGTTTGAAGACATAATTCAGAGCAACCACCATTGTTGGATGTGCAATTATTAATGCCTAGAAAAAATATTTAAAAATAAAATATCCTCAATGCCAAATAAAAAAAAATTATAAAATAAAAGATTCATGAAGCTAGAAAATAAGAATTCACTAACATACACAATAAAACAGGTAACAGATATATTAACCCAATAACACTATTGAACCCAAATGAGAATGTGTTTAAAATTTGCATGTGTTTAGTTCTGGTTGGAAAAATCATTAACTTTAGAGTGTAATTATTTATGTAAACAGAGATTATATAACACCCAAGGGCCAAGATGCCTGCAAAATCATAGCTGGCAGGTAATATTTTAGCAAAATTTAACCTGTTTTCTTTTAAAGTTAATAGTCGCAAAGCAACGCATAGCTCTTAAGCCAAGTAAAAATATGAAAATCAATGATAGATATTACAGTCGCGTGAATACAAATCACAATATTGGACTTTGAATACACAAATATAGAAACTGTGACATTGAATTTAAAATTTTTGTGATAACGAATTGCGTTACTAGATTTTAAATACATATGAATATGAATCCCAAAATTGATTTTAAAAATGTGTTAGTAAAAATCATGACATTGGATTTTTAAATCACCTGAATATGAATCGTGATGTACAATTTTTAAACCACGCCAATATGAATCGAAACTTGTAACTTTTAAACTAGGTAAATACGAAAATCGATGTTTGATATTCATACCAAGTGAATAAATAACGGGTATTAGCGGATTCCGGAGCAGTCCCAAATGTTCAAAATGCCGAAATCTGCCAAATTAAAGAATCATATTGGCGAATTTCTACCCATTGGCGGAAGAATCACATGTATATAAAGTGTCTTGCTAAATTAAAAGTAATTAATGAGAGAGTTAGTAAAGAGAGTAGTAAGAGAGATTAGTAAGAGAGTAGAGAATTGTTAAATTAGAGAATTATAAAAGTTTAAATTTTTGAACTTTAGATAGAGAAATTCTGTGAAAATATCGTCAGATAAATTTCTGATTAGAGAATATCCGAGAACCAATGGTATTGTCAAAAGTGGAATTCCACGATATTCCCTGAAAAATCATATCCCCTGCTCCTAATTTTTAGACGCGGATAGATAAGATGAAAAACCTGGAATTCTGGGGTATCCCCAGAATACGAAAATCCACTCACTAATTTTATATTTTAAGCTCTCATATTTCCTTTAACCACCCTTCCTGTGCTTTGCCCATCGCACAATCTTTCAGATTTTGACTCAAAAAGGAAATTCCCTCTCACAAACAATAGGACAGTAAAACAAAATTTAAAAAATTTTAGAATAGCTTTAAGCAGCTAACAAAAAAGTCTCCCTCTTTTTTTAAAAAAAAAATTTAAAAAAAAGAACTCAGAAAAAGTATGGCCAAGTTTTGTAGAGAAAAAATTATTATAATCTGTTAGAAAAACGTATAAAGCGAGATTTTCTTAAAAAGGATAACGTAAAATTCAGGATAATTTAACATTAATGGAAAGGAAATAAAATCCAGCAGAACAGACCAGCAGAAAATGATACAGAAAGCAGGATAACGTATGAAACAGACAATGTAAAACTGGAGTTCCCCTGTATTTTACTACTATGCAGATACGTTATGTGGTTTTAGCATTCATAATTGTCTGTCTCAAACTGTAAACTATATTTCTAACAATTTTTTTTCTTTTTTCATAAAAAATATTAAATTAAAAAAAATATGTAATTTTAATTTCATAAAAGTAAAAAGCTGTTAAACATAACTTTCCATTCCATAACATGCTGGCTACTAAACATTTTTATCTTAGTAGACTCCTGAAATAAAGTAATACTAATAATCAGCTGATAAGCTGAACTGATTTAAAAAGAATGATAATAATAACTTTCACCATCAAACTATGAAAAAGAAAGAAAATCTTTCACAAAGCACTTTATAAAAAAATTAAAAACAGAGACGAATGGCCAGACAAGTTGATCCAAACCAATTTATCAATAAAGAAGCAAATAAACTTAATCACCTAATCAAATAAACTTTGACAAAAATTTTATATCCATATACCTTTGTATTGTTATTTTTGAAACATGTAAATGTAACAGCACAATGGATATGCAAAAGCATCTTATTTTTTCTCCATCAAACTGCTTTGTGAGCTTTCCATTTTAATTTATACCAGTCCTTAAGATATATTAATTTATGAAACATATATATATTATAAAAATTATAGCAATATAAAAAAAATAATGTGCGAAAATAATAATGGATTCAATTGTTTCCTTTATGAAATTTTATCTTGTATGTTAGTACAAAACAAAAATTTTCATTGAAGGCATGAATTTTGTTTAGAAAGACTTCACATAGGTTCTATTGATTTAAAGTTTAAATATATACTCAATGGTTGCTTATCAAAACTTTAAGAAAAACAAAATTATAATATTAAAGGTAAGCTTAAATCAACAAGTCCTTGAGATAATATATAAATAAATCACTAGAAACTGACTACACAAATTTTATAATTTAACTTAAACTCTTTTAAATTTTACCAGTTTTTAATTTTGGTAGAATTGATGCTCAATTTTTCTTAAATAAAAAGACTAACTACTGTGCCTTGATTGATTAAATGTAGGGTTTAATGGCACAAAGTCCAAAGAAGGGCATGCTGCACCAAACGAACTGTTTTAAAATAAAGGTAAATGTATATTACAAATTTTCTTCATTAAAAGTCACACGGAATTTATAAAACTAGATACAACGTGACAGAGGTATTCAAAAGTGAGTAAACTCAGATAAAATGTAAATGTAGTAAAGCATTATAAAACAGTTGCATTCAAAGATGAATAAAATCAGATAAAATTGTGAATAGGATAAAACAGTTATATACAGTATAAAAGACCAATTGCGCGTAGAAACGCAAAAATGTTAGGATGATGAGAGTCACCTAACAAATCCTGAAGAGTTAAAATAGAACTACCAAAAAAGGTTAGACGATGATGGTTAAAAAATGAGCAGATGATTAAAATATGATGAATAGTGAGTAGAACTTTACAGGTGTTGCATTGGGGAGGAGGTGCCCCAAATAACAAATGTAGGTGGGTCAGCCTAGTGTGGCCGATTCGGAGAAGGTTTAATTTTACATCTGCATGCCGCAGACCTAACTATTGTAGCGTAACTATCACTATAAATATTAAATACCAATTCACTAGTATATAAGACATGTTAACTTAATTCTATCATGAGGTACCTTTTGGTAGATGAAGGTTGACATAGCCTAAGATTAAAAATCACTACACTATAAATTAAAAGTGTTACAAAGCAGCTTAAATATTTAAAAAGCAAAATTAAATTTACAACTAATGTTTATGAAATTGAAAAAGAAACTATCCTATTAATCATTACAAAAAGCCTTTATAAGTCACTCAATTGATAAGTATAAAACATAAATATACCTGTTTGAGTAGCACTATCAAAAATTCTAATTTGGTACACAGGAGGATTTTCTTTTATCAATGTAGTAACAGATTTATTCATCAAATTGAGTCGTTGCAAAAAACCATGTTGATATTCCGACCAGTATACAAAATTATTGAAATGTGCCAAGCCATATGGGTGGCCACGGTTTTCATCTTCAAACAAAATCTAAAAAAAAGATTCAGGATTAGAAAAAACTTCAAGGCAAACATCTATACTTTATGGCAGTGATGGAAAAAAATAAAAATAGATTAAAATAGAGTTAATAATAAAAGTAAAAAAGTAATAAATTTAAGACAAACATACATTAAATTATTGAGTTATAAAATAATGCTTATCCCTGATCTTATTTACTTATTATATACCCAATATTCTTATTTATTTTAATTAAATGATATAAAGATTTCACAGGAAAATGCATTAACGGGCTTAATGTAAATTCTAACAAATCAAAATTAAATCAACTAGGCAATAGAATACAACAAAAGTAAAAATCTTTTGAACACATAGAACTTTAAATTATAACAAAGATAGTGATGCTAAACTTCGTATAAGATCAGACAGTTGAGAATTAAAGAGAATTTATATCAAAAACGACATATTTTGATTAAACTGCTATTTTTCTAAATTGTTTGCTTATTTTTTATCTCAGTCATTGTTCCTCAACCACCTTTCAATAAAAAAGCATTTGTCATCATTATAGTTGGCCATACAGCCTAATGTGGGCCAATGCCTTTCTCTGAAAATTTCTCATAACAACTTCTGATTTATCTTTAATCTTAAATTATTTTCATTAATTGAAAGAAAATTCAATCTTGTAATTAATAAGTATGATATTTATATAGGCTCATATATATGTATATTTATATAGGCTCATATATATGTACATTTATATAGGCTCATATTTAAAATATTATTCATTGTTGATAGCATACGTATGATCGAAAACAAACAGGCCAAAAAATTGTTTCAATAACACAATTTTGTATAGGTAAATAATACAAAAAAAAGCCCTAAGTAAAAATTACTAACCCTACAGTTCTGCAATATAACAGTGAAATATTTTACCGACACTTTGAGTGAATCAGATTAAGAAACACTGATCTAATATATAATAAGTTTCTATTTTTATAAAATAGAATCAAGAAAATTAATGATAAACATGATGGCAACTAGTCTTCAGCATAACTTAAATAATTTTAATAAAAACAAATTACATTTCTTTTTAAATAAAGAATCCTGAATTAAAGTGAAGATCAAAACTAAAAAAAAAAAGATGATTAAATAACTTTCCTATTATGGACTGCAGAGAAAAAAATTTTAATTTCAGAGGATTTAACTACATAAAACAATAAAATAATTTTTAATTAACAGTAAAAATAAATTGGAAAAAATGAAAAGTTAATCAATGTGATAATAAAGACATATAACCACCATGAAAAAAATATAAATTTGGTTTCATTACAAAACAAAGAGTAGTACCTCACGTCCAGAACCATCTAAAGAAACTCGCTCTAAACGATGTAGATAAGCATCACACCAATATAATTTCTTTTCTACATAATCAATGCTAAGACCGTTTGGCCACTGTAAATTTTCAGACAAGAAAATCTCTTTATTACTGCCATCCATGTAAGCTCGCTTAATTTTGCCTCCAATTGCAGTGTCACCAGGTGATGTTTGAAACTCATTCGACCAATCAGACCAATACATCATGCTAAAAAAAAATAAAAATTTAAAAAAATAAAAAATAAAAAAAAAACAATTTAAAATTAACAAACAATGAATTTTAAACAAAACTAATGATACATTATTGATATCTGAATTTTTTATACTTTATTGAATTTTTACAGATACGTACCTTAATAAAATATATTAATTCTACAAATATATATGATTATTAAGAAATCTGAATAAAAAAGATATTTTATGTTAAATATAAATAATGATTCCAGTCATCACTGAAAGTCATGATTATAAAGTTTAAAATGAAATCTCTTAGATTTTATAATATATTAATGGAACACCTTTTAAATTCAAAGAATTAAGAATCTCAAGATTCAGAAATGCGTAGCAAATCTATAATAATTAACACACATTGCCCAATTGACAGTGCTTTAAAGCTGACCTTTACCACAATTGGCATTTCTCAAGTAAATTTAAAAGAAAAAAAAATGGATGTAGTGAAAACATGAAAAGAAAGTTTTGTGTTGGTTCTTGATTATATCTGCTTCATAATAAATCAAAACTGTGTAAAATTTATTCTGACTTGGTTGATTAAAGTTAAAAATATAATAAACTGAAATAATGATATCTAAAGTATACTTGACATTTATAATGTAATCTATGTCACACAACAGAGCAGTGAACAAAATGGTGATATTAAGTAAGATATGAATAAAAATTCATTTATCACATATTAACACCAAATTTGAAAACAATGATCATGATTTTAAACAAAATAGGAATAGACCAAATTATTTTAAGATTCAAACAGATCTAATGAATTAGCTTTATTGCATTTTTTTTTTTTTTTAACATTTCATTATGGTTTTATTACTTGTGACTTTATTAATGTGTTAGTAAAAACAAATAAAAAAAAAAACATTACCCTCTTTTAGGATCAAGAACTATAGCTTTAGGATGCGACATGGGTTCATTTATAAGTTGCTTTCTAATGCTAGAATCATTCAATCTGGCCACAAAAATCGCAAGTAACCCTTCATCTGTCCAGTACAAATTCCTACCCATCCAATCCACAGCCAATCCTTCACAATTGTTTAATCCTAAAAAAAAAGAGAGAAACTATTTAAAACATGTCTTTAAAATTCAACAGTGGAGTCAACTGGGGTAAATTTGTTCAAACAAATGTGCAAATAAAAACTATGTGCGGAATCTAGACAAATGAGGGTAATTATTACTTACTCATTGCAAAATCAGTCCTTATATTGTGAAACGAATTCCTGCACAGACAACATATAATTGCTCAGAATCTTTGAGGATCAAAGAATCATGAGGAAGAATTTGAATCTATTTTGACTCTTGGTGAGATAAATTATCTCACCACGGTATTCACATAGTAGTATGTATACATATGCTTTAGCATGTAAAGTAAAGGAAAAGTGTTTCGTTCTCATTCCACAGGTCCTGAAGGAGTTTTAAAGTATCTTACGAGAAATTAAACAGATTTTTAAAATATACAAACGCTATAACTAAATTTTTTTAACCCAATTTAGAAACTTCATAACTAGAACCATGGTGGCTCAAGAAATATAGCGCTCGCCTCCAAATGAAGTGACCCGGATGCACCAACACAGTCCAAACATAAAACATCCTCAGTGGTAGACGGATCATCGGTTAGAGTTCTCTTGCTGTCAAACTAACTATGGGAGTTTTTGTGCCTTTCCTCTTCATGTAACGCAAATGCGGATTAGTTCCCTCAAAAAGTCCTCCAGAAGGTAAATTTCTACAAACACTTGATCCAGGAGTTCCATTGTCTTCTGGATTGGGTTCAAAATTACAAGGTGACAGAATTGAATATAGGTAGTCATTGACTCAAAATTGGGCTGGGTGTTCAACAACAATTATAAAATAAAATAAAACTTCATAACTAGAGCTGAGGTAGCTCAGGGGATAGAGCATTTGCCTCCCAATGAGGTGACCAAGGTTCAAATCAGAATAGTGATTGGTGACATAATTGCTCCTCGATTGCACCAACCACAGTGCTGACATAAAATATCCTCAGTGGTATCAGATCATGGGTTAGAACCCACTTGCTGTTGGACTAACTATGGGAGGTTTTTGTGGTTTTTCTCACCATGAAACGTATATGAGGATAAAGGTTTGAAGAAGGCTAGTTTGCCCCTATGTTTGAGCCAGGAGTTCTTTTGTCTTCAGAATTGTGATAAAAATTACAAGACTACGGAGTTGAACGTTTAAAGTCGTAAGCTCAGAGTTGGGTCAGCTGTTCAACATCAGTTATTCAATAATACATAACATAAAATAAAATAAACTTCATAGTAGAACTTTCCTACATTTCTTCATATTCTACACTTACAGATAATGATTGATAATAATCAATATAACAACCATAACGAAATTTTACTTATCTACCATTAAGGTAATTGTACTTGTATACTTAAAAGTTTGAAATACAGAAAAAATAAACTTTCTGATGGCAACTGAACTCATATTTATTTAAAATACTAGTATGATTATACTTACTTAAATATCAAGTGAATAATTGTGTAAACTTTAACTGCATTGAAATGTCTCATGAGGAAGTTAATTGATTATTTTATTCATAAACTTTTCTTCTATTTTCTTTCTACTCATAATTTGGATTAAGTTAATTCATTTATTTTTTGTGAGCTAATAAAAAACATTATTTGTTCTACATTTTGTATAAAAAAGTTTAAAGTAAAAAAAAATCAATCGAACATAGGTAGATGGAAACAAATGTGTAACATTTTTTGTTAGCATTTTGTCTCTTAAACTAGTAACCTCAGTCGTTCATTTCATGGTGCACTGCAAATTATTTGTTTGAAGCCTGAATCATGTTTAAGTAGCCAAATTATGACTTTGAAAATTATTAAGAAAAGTCATAATATATTTATTTTTTTTTCACAAAGTAATCAGAAGAAAAACAAAAAAATGCAGATACTACAGCATATACATATACAACTTACCCTTCTCCAAATAAACATCTCTTTGACTGCCATCTATTTTTTGTCGCTCAATGACAAACCTCTGAACATCTGAGTAATAAATAAACTGTCCTCGAGCATCATAGTCCATAGCAATTGGTCTGTTCAAGTCTAGAATAGGGATCAGCACTTCTTCCTGCTTTCCTCCCGTATTTAAAGAAATCCCTTTTATTGCCCCAGGATGTCCTCGTCCATACAACAGAAACTGACCCTGTTTGGCAGCTGAAATCATATAAACTGATTTAAAATTAAATGAGAAACAATAGACTAGAGTGGACGTAAAACTATTGGAAAGAAATATTTCAACTAAAAACATAGAAAATGCTCTGAATTTTACTTTAATTCTTTTAACTCTATACAAATTAATAGTTAAGTTTTTAAAAGAAAGCAAAGGTTATGTTCAAATGCTTATATCACATAAATTTTTTTAAAAAAAACTAACTAAATATATAAAAGGGAACAGAAAAACATGACAGAAAAATCAATAATAAACATAAATATGAATAATAGATNAGAAAGCAAAGATTATATTCAAATGCTTATATCACATAAATTTTTTTAAAAAAAACTAACTAAATATATAAAAGGTAAAAGCAACAGAAAAACAGGACAGAAAAATCAATAATAAACATAAATATGAATAATAGATATGAAAAACAAATATGAAAAATAGATATGAAGAGAATAAATCAAAACACTATTCCAGAAATATGAACATTTTTTTACAAATAATCCAAATAAAGATTTGTGCATTACAAATATTAAACTAACTATTTATTTCAGCAAAATTTCCTCATGAACTATTTAGACTAACAAGTATATCTTATTTTCAAATATGTACTGTTTATTTAAATCTTTCTATCACCAGAGTGTCATTGATATTATTTCCACAGTCATTTCGGATATAACAGTCATTGTCATCTTAATTCAGAAGACAAAAACATTCAGCAACTTTTATTTATAAAATTATAAGTTTTTAATTTATAATCCCTTGTATGAAAAAGTTGATATATTAAATATATATAATGCAAATTTTTAAAACTATTCGCTTTCCATTAAAATTTTAATTAGGCAAGTCAAATATTAAGAAACAAAGCTCGTCTGCATTTAATAATGGGATGCTATACTTAATATTTCTCAAATACGAGCAAATGCTTAGAACAAAATGACTCTTTGTCATTTCTTCCCAAGTGCATTTTAAAGGTCATCATTATTGTTCCAAATTATACTTATTTCATATTATATTTGTCTCGTATTATATTTATTTATTTCTCATTATATTAACTTTATAATAAAACTTTTGCTTACATAAAATGACGTACTAAAAAATATTGTGCAATACAAATAAAATTAAAGTAAAAAAAACAAAAAGATTATGACAGTCATTAAACTAAACTTTTGATACTAATAAATTCATCATCATAAAATCACTTTAATCAGCAAAGGATAGCATTCAATAAATATTATACAATAAAATAAACTTTTTCTTCCCTGATTTGATTCTTAAAATTTAGAGAAATAACTTGTATCAAAAAAAGATCAAACTATGACAAATTTTGATTTTTTTTTTCTTTTAAATATTAGTAATACTCACTATCTTGTCATAAAAATATAATAAAATACTGAGAATAAACACTAATTTTTTAACTAAAAAAACCCAGTTTTCAAATGAAAAGAAAAACAATGGTCATTATGTTTTGCTCATCTTTTCTGAATGAGCACTCCTAATGAATTGAAAGTTATACTTTTGCCTTATGATATGACTTAGATTCACCACATTTGACAGACAATATGTAAAAACAATTCATTTGACAGACTATATGTAAAACAAATAAATGAGCTTACGAATGCATTTCTTCCCTCTGGCAACAAGGTTAAAACCTGTCCTGCATAGACATTTAACAACTGTAACACCTTCTTTAAAAAGAGGGATGCAAATATGATCACATTGGCCATTTCTATGAGAACATGGATGCATTACTGTAAAAGAAAAAAATAGGCAGATAAAATATGTATTTACTTATACATGTACTAAAGTATATTGAATATAATTAACATTAACAATAAGTGTTATTAAAATAAAAAGATTTTATGTTAATACCATCACCAACTTGGAACGTATGTCATGCTTCATAAATATGAACATTTTTGATAAAATAAAAAAATAAAAAAGAATATAGGTAGCAAATAACACCTTCAGATAAAAGCACCAAATGTGTTGCTTCTTTATTAGTATTATTTGTAATTTATGCTATTAGAAAGCTTTTGATTTTTTTCATTTTTTAAAAAAATAATTGCATAATTCGAAATAAATTTTTACTCATTTAAATTTTAAATAAGAACACATTTTATGAAAAATATTCTTTGCACATTTAGAAAAGAAACACAAAGCCTTACAGAAACCAATACAATAGAAAAACAAAACTTTACAGATACCAATTCATGTGCAATATAGTAGAAATTTATTAGTTCAAGCCTTTTGAAAAAAAAGACAACAAAAAATCAAGCCGTCTGTACTTAAGTGCAGTTAAATGTGTAATGCTATAACATAAAGCACAGACAAATAACTTAAAGAAATTGCATGTAAAATCTATATATATTACCTTCTTTAAATGTTCTCAGATTATATATTATTTTGGCGACCAGACTAAATTTTTATAGAGACTCATCATTTTGTACTATAGAGCTAATTTTTTCAACTAAAAATCATTAGTTCAAAAGGGAGTCAAGTTGCTAGTTAATAATATCAAATGATTCTTAAATTTTGTAATTAAAATTAAATTAAAGCAGGTGTACAACTTCTTATACATTACAATTCAAGTAAGTTTATAAAATTATTAAAGTAAATAATGAAAATAATATACAGTATTTTACCATATTTTGAATAAAATTATATTTAAGATAAGGGGATTTCATAAATGGGTGTAAAAATATTTTGATATGCATGAACTAATTCCAGAGAGAATTATGATGAAAAAACCCAAAAAGAGAACATAACATTAAAAATTTCAAGCTTTTACCACTTTTCTAACAAAACTATTTGGCAATACATACCACATGATTGAAAACTTCATTCACTTCAAAAATATACAAATTATATATTTTACATAAAAGTGCCATATGTAAAATATATAATTTGTATATTTTTGAAGCGAATGAATTTTTTAATCAGGTAATATCTTAGTACTTCAGTTTCTTGGGATTATTTAATATTTGGCAATACGTTCTAGATTCAGGGATGAGAGTAATCAAAAGTAAAAAAGAGGAAATCCAAGAAGAAGAGGAAATTCAATAATATATATATATAT